AAGTAGCGAGTCCGAGCCATTAAGGGTGTTAGCTGGTCGACACAGATCCGTTTTCACGCATCCAACTGGCATTGACTTAGTTATGTATTATTAATCCAAAACATTACAATATGACTACTTACCCTGTTGTAATATTTAACTGCTTCTTATTATTTTATTGATAAATACTAACATGGTGCTGCAAATTAAATTGCGGTATGGTTGTATATCAGTCACCCAACTGCCCATCATTAATATTACACCTACTCTTCTGATTTTACACACTCAACTAACATGGTGTTGGAAATTAATTAAAGTTTTATTATAAATACACAAGAGTAGTACATTATTTGATATCTTGAGTTACATCTAAAAATTATTTTTGTTGTAATTCCTCTCCATATTGACTTGATGGCAGCTTATACTGCTGTAATTTCTCTTCTTCAAACTCTTGATCAACCAAATATTTCAGAACTCTTTCATGATCATAGTACTGAAATGCTCAATTCTCTTCGTGCTTCAGCTGATATTTTCAAGATGTTCTTGAAAACACTAGCAATGAGAAAATCAAATCTTTGGAGGAAGATATTAGAGTTGTTGTTAGTGAGGCAGAGGATGTTGTTGAAATGAAGATTTCTGAAATCATCAAAGAAGAAAGCTGGACATTTGGAATTTTACAACACCATGATATGCTACCAGTTGTTGAAAAAATGGATACGACAAAGAAACAAGTGATGGAGATTCTTTCTCATGATGCTGATCAAATTCTTGAATTAACTGCGGATTCCTTGATTGGTGCTTCTTCTATGAGTGATCCAATGCTGTCAGATCACTTGAAAGATGATATCGTGCAGGGACTTGATGGTGACTTGGAGATAATAGATAAAAGATTGAGAGGACCAACGTCGTATCTAGACATTGTCACCATAACGGGTATGGGTGGCATTGGCAAAACAACACTCGCTAAAAAAGCTTATGATCATCTTCCAATCAGGTATCACTTTGACATTTTTGTTTGGGTTACAATATCTCAAGAATTTCGATATAGAAATGTATTGTTAGAAGCTTTACATTGCATTTCAAAGCAAAGAGTTAATGTGAACACAAAAGATTATGTTAAGATGAATGCTAGTGAGTTAGCTGATCTAGTGCAAAAGAGTCTAAAGGGTCCAAGATACCTTGTTGTTGTTGATGATATTTGGAGTAGGGATGTTTGGGATAGCATATCACAAATATTTCCTAATCGCAACAATGGGAGTCGAGTCTTATTGACTACTAGGGAAACTGATGTAGCAATATATGCAAATACTAGTAGCCCTCATAAGATGAACCTCTTGGATTTAGATAATAGTTGGAAGTTACTTCGTGATAAGGTGTTTGGACTAGAACACGATCATCCTCCCTAGTTGGAAGAAATTGGAAAAAAAATAGCAGAAAAATGCCAAGGACTTCCCTTAATAATTTCAGTGATTGCAGGGCATCTCTCTAAAACGGTGCCCAAGACATTAGAAAGTTGGAAGTATGTTGCCAAAACATTAAGTGAAATCATTGCTAGTCATTCAAATAAATGCTTAGGAGTGCTCGGTTTGAGTTACCATCACTTGCCTAATCGACTCAAACCGTGCTTTCTTTCTATGGGTGATTTCCCAGAGGATTTTCAAGTTGAAACTTGGAGATTGATCCAATTATGGATCGCAGAAGGTTTCATAAGGACGTCTTCTGGAAGTCATGAAAGCTTGGAAGAAGTAGCTAAACATTATTTGGAGGATCTTATCAGCAGGAACTTGATAATGGCTAGAAAAAAAAGATTCAATGGTGAGGTAAAAGTATGCGGAATACATGATCTGCTGCGTGAGTTCTGTTTGATAGAAGCTGAAATGACAAAGTTTATGCATGTTGTGAGAACTCCATTTTCACCAGGACAAAAGCCTAATTTTCGTCGCTTCAGTATTGAAAAGTATATTGAAGATGCTTATAAGCTCTTACCCCCTGTAGCCAGATCTATGTACTGCTTTTCTAACTTGGATCTACCTTTTGAACCCCGTATTAAGCTTCTCCCTATATTGCCCATCTACCGTCATGATCCTATAATACATGAATTTTTCTCTTGTTTCAACCATCTCAGGGTATTGGCCATCTTTCCTGCCTGGTTTGACTCAATCTCAGAGCTTCTGAATTTGCAAACTCTAATTTGTGATGCTAATATAATGTATATAACTTTACCTCGGAAGATATGGATGATGAAGAACTTGAGGTATATACGTTTAAGGGCAGCCAGTTATTTTCCAAGTCCTAGAATAGATAAGAATCTTGTGACAGGGATGCCAAATCTAGAGGAACTTTTTGGTCTTTGTTACTCTAGTTGTACAAATGAAGTTTTTTCTAGCATCCCCAATTTAAAGAGATTGACCATTCACGCACCTTTAATGGTAGACAATGTTCCATATCATCTCTTGGATATGTCGAGCTTAAGAAAACTTGAGGCATTCAAGCTTTCCTGGAGATATGTTTTTGCAAAGCCCATCAAAAGATTTGTTTTTCCAAAATCACTTAGAAGATTGTCTTTAGCTAGGTGTTATAAGTTTATTTGGGAGGAGATATCATCAACTTTTATCAAGTTGCCACATCTTGAAGAGCTCAAACTTAAATATTGTCGAGCCGATGATGATATATGGAGATTGAATGACAAAGACATATTCAATCTCCAACAGATTTTACTGAGCGAGCTAAATCTTAAGCATTGGGAAGCTAGCAGTGATAACTTCCCTAATCTAAAATGCCTTATTCTGAAGAATTGCGAGTTCCTACAAGAAATTCCAACAGATTTTGGGGAAATTTGTACTTTGGAATCAATTGAATTACATGATTGCACCACTATTTCTGAGGATTCTGCCAGAAATATCGAACAAGAACAAGAGGATATGGGAAATAATATCCTTAAGGTCTACATTCGTAGCTGCCACAGTAAGTTTTAATTCTCTCTGGAAAGTTCTTCGATTCTTCACATTAGTTAAAACCTCAATTTTATTAAATCTTATCTCCATGAAATCAAGATGATGACTTGTACCTTTTATCTTGCTTATGCAGCGGATTGAAGCTTATTTTGAGGGATCATCTAATGCTATTTTCCGAATTGAGAACAGTGCAGTTCATATTTTGTTTTTATATTCTGATCATTTGTTAAATTCATGTTTTAGGAATAAACATGTTTAATACATTTCTCGGCCAATTGTGTTTTTGTATTTCGTAAATGGTAACAATTGATGTACTGTAATATCTATTTTGTTTTCGAAATGAATAAGCATGTTCAATCTATTATGCATTGCCTACGGAGTATAAGAATTGCTGGTTTCACACTTTGAATCTGTTTTCCTCTGTTCATGTATAATACATGTTTTTCGTTGATGTTCTGTTCTTTATGTGATTTCAGATGCTGGATATCGATAACATTTCTCACGAATGGTACTTGGTAGTTTCAGTATGTAATCTAGCTTCTGATAGGAATGTCAAAGAGTAGAAATAAGTAGACGATGAATGAGATTCTTTTACTTTTTATGAACTTTGACTTCTTTTTTATCGTGTACGATTGATGTTGAGTAATATCACCAAGTTTGTCATTTGTTATGGATTCTTTCTCAACTTCCATTGAAGCAGATATCTAGAAACGTACACACAGCACACTGGTTTTCTCTGCATTACATTCAAGCTAAGATATTGTTGGTTACTTAGCTTTCCATTTAACTGATTGGCATTGACATCCGTTTCCTTAGCTCTTGAATATAGTTCAATACAAGTTCAAGAAAAGAAGATGGTTTATAGACTTGGATTTGACGAATTGTGTTAAAGGGCATAGATGACAGATGAGGCTAAGTTAAAGGGCATCGTCAAGGAACACTTTCAGGTGTTGAACTTCTTCCAACAAATTGTTGAATTCATCATTTACCGCCTTTAATCATCCCCACATTTTCACTTAATAGCTTCAACAAATTCTCCACCAGAAAGTTCACAACTCTATCTGCCATCTTTCTTTGTTGGTTAAGAAATGTGAAGAGTATATTTTAGCTATCAGAAGTACACTTTACCAGTATAGAAATCACCAGGAGCTTCATTTTTTTTTTAAATTGTCAACAAATATGAATTGAAATTCGTCACTGTTTGTTTTATATCCTGATTTCTTTCATCACGTACGATCATAATCTACCTTGCTAATACTACGCTATGTAGTATAACCTCATTGTTTTGTGATTATAGAAGATTCAGACTAACTTCAGAATGTCAGGCCAATATTAGAATCCACCCCATTGTCATCCCTAAGTTTCAGCTACATATTTAAGGAAGATAATTTTCCCGGAGAAAGCTTATTGGTTTCCTATCACTATGTCACGCCCCGAGCCTACACCCTGGGAGGGACCGGCACTCGGAGCCATTGCTGGCCCCAAGAAACCCTTGGCCTGGCTTCTTAATTCAGCGGAAACTTAACTCTAACAGTATAACTCAATGCAATGCAAAGTCATAAGACAACTTAACTGATAAAGATCTGGCCAAAAAGGCACCTCGAGTCTCAAAATTAGAATATTTAACATATATACATAGATTAGAGACTCAATACTGACTGACTGACTATCTGTGAAGCCTCTAATATACTGAGATAGATGTTGGGACAGACCCCGCAACATCCTAATAGAACAAACTAAGTACACAAAATAATTGAGTCCTCCGGAATGCAAGGAGGCTCACCACAGACTCTGGAGTGCTCAGCTGGATCAACGACGTACAGAATGCTGATCCAACACTTACCTTGACTTTGAACGACTCATGAATAACCGAACTCAATGTAAAGCAATAAGACACATGCAATACATATAAAGCTTGTAAACAATGTAAACAACTTAGTTTGTGAAGGATAAAACGACAACAAACTCAACTTTACTTATATGGAAGAAATATAGCTTTTGTGGGAGGTTCTTTAACCGACAACCACCACTATGAGCCCTAGTGATGATACAATGTCTTACCTCACGTTTCCCGAGGACCATCCTATACCTTGCCGTGATATAGGACCTTACTTTTGCTTAGTGGATCCACTAGCCTAATCTTACGTGATCATCTAAAAAGAATGATACGTCAAGTCCCATGTTGGCGCATGGTTCTTATGGAGAGTTGAGTTAATATGAACTCGTGTCCCCAATTCGGTGCTCAATACTACTCCCAAAATGCTTTGACTCATAAGTGCTTTAAACACATTTTTCTTTAATTGAGATAATTACTCAAACTTAGCCCAAAGGCTCTTTTGGAAAAAACATGGTTCCTTTCTTATTTAAATGCAAAAAACATTTAGAAACTTCTTTGGGAAGTACATAGTTCCCTAATAACTTTGGAAAAATGGACTCGACTCTTTACACCTTACTTTACTTGAAACTCTTTACTTATGACTTGACTTGAAACTCGTAACTCAACTTGAGACTTGATACTCTTTTATTTGACTTGAAACTCTATACCCTTTTCTCGACTTGAAACTTGAAACGACGTTAAGACGTTCAATAACGACTCTTGAAAAGATTTAAAGACTTGCTTGGACTTACTTCTTAATTTTGCTTGACTTGACTCTAACTTCCCTTTAACTTTGATACTAACTCGACTTGAATTGGATTATGGATTCAAGGTGTATGATCACACGTCTACGGATGAATTCATGACATTTAAACGTAACTTGAAGTGTTGGAAACAACTTAGAAACATAGGTACACTACCTAGGAACATGCATGAGAAAGCATGGAAAGAAGTGGGGTTACATGGCGTCCTTGGCGCTCTGCAAGGCGCGGAGCGCCAGCCCTCGAAGCTCAGCAGGCCACCTGCTGGCGCTCTGAGTGGCGCGCCCGCCCCGAAAGGGGTAAAATTCACGAACCCCTCTTGGGGGGCGCTGGCAGGCGCGACGCCCCAGCCCTTTTTCCTGAAAACTTCGACTTTTCTCCTCCTCTTCAACTCAAAACCTTCCAAACACTAAGGTTTCCAGCCCCAACACTTAGGATCATCAATCTCCTCAACACACAATAGAATACAACTCAAAAACCAACCGGAAACATGTCCCAAATCACAAGGGACTTCAACAACAAAATCATCAACACAACTAACAACTTCAACAACTAACAACTCAACAACAAATCAAATCATTTCTCAAAGCATAAGATGAGCTTGGTATGTGGGAGTAAGGATCAACCCACACAAGGAACTCACATACCTCAAAAGGGATCACCCCCGACGATTTCCACGACGGAGATTTCTTGATCTTCCTCTTTCTTCTCTTCTTCTTCTCCTTCTTCTCTTCTTCTTCTCTTCTTCACTCTCAAGCCCTAGCCTTCACTCTCTTAAAATGGAACAAAATGATCCAACGATCAGCCTAACACAATAATATATCCTCAAAAGAAATAGCTAGGGAAAGGACCAAAATGCCCTTAATAATTCCCGGACGGATTTCCTTGTCAACTTCCCAACTTTCAAAGGGCATATCTCACTCATACGAACTCGGAATCGAGCAAACTCAGTGGCGTTGGAAAGATCGTTCCATGAACTGTGCAACCATAACTGGAACTCCACGTAACTCATCCTGAGCTAGAATTTATGGCTGTTCAAAATTGGCCAAAAATTCACATTTTCCATACTTAGCCAAAATTTTACAGATTTTTAAATTCTTTCCAAAAATAAAATTTTCCAATTCTAAGCCTCTTCAAAATTATTTCAAATTGTCGGATGTTACACACTAGTACTCAAGCTTACGCGAAGATGAATGCCAAGATTTGTCTCTTGTTCTGTTTCCAACTTCAAAAAGGATGCAGTAGTGTCTGAAACCTTCCAATTCAAAAATGATTAACTAGAATTCATCTAAAAGCTAAGATACCTGCAATAGCGCCGACGTGTCTTTCAACAAAAACAATGATAGATTAAAACAAGAGTTTTACACGAACGAAACAAAGCAAATACAACCATAACAGAATAGGAAAGATGCAAACAGCTTCACAACCGAGAAAAAAAAACAATCCACATAAAGGGGAACTCGAAATGCTAGCTATTTGTCTGATGACCCCTGGCTTCCAGCAAGCTCAATGTCCAAGTTCTCTCCTGCAGAAAGGAGGAAAATTATGTTAGAAATAAACAAATGGCATTTTCTATTCCAAATCATGGTCGAGCCATATATAAACACACGTAAGAGCGGACTGCAAATTCATAATGTAAGGAAAGAATTGGTTAGTTATGGATTTAATGATTTCAGTATAAATGAATTCAACGGACCTTCCAATTTCACTGTGCAACCTTGGATTCATTTTCAGGAGGGAATATGCTTAGCTTGAGTTTCATGCTTTTAGATGTCTTGCTATCCCGAACAATTTTTGCAGAGTTTACTGCTTTGCTTGTGTTATCCAGCCTCATCTCTTGAAGACTAGGGATATCAGCCAGCTCAAGTGGCACATCATCGAGCTTATCACAAGAGATAAGAACAAGTTGCCTAAGCACGGGGAAGTTAATAACCGAAGCCTCCCAAGATTCTAATTCTGACCTTTCAATCCACAAGACTTGGAGTGCGCTAAATCCACTCTTTGGCTTCCAGAAATCACCCGTGAATGCATTTTCTTTAAACTTTAGGACCTCAAGAGATTCCAACTTCCCCAATTTATCCGCCTCACTCCAAGAAAACCTTGTGTTTGTCAGAGTTAACTTCTTCACTGTACGTACCAGTTTGGAGAATGCTAGTGGAAGGTGAAGTGTTTTATTTATGAAAAGAACATCATTCAACAATTTCAAATGTTCCAGACACTGTAGCTCTTCAAGATTGTTGATACCACCCTTGTAAGCACCAAGAAAAGCCGCCATTTGCCCTCGAATGCTCAATTTTCTAACATTACACGCCTTTGCTAGCACATCTTTCTCACAACTTTCTGGCGCAACCATAGAAAGAGTCTGTAGACAAGAAGGTTTACCTGTGGTGGTAGTCGGGGATGGCAATTTTGCAGGTATGTTGGTGTGGAGATGCCTCAACTGTAACAAGTTCCATATTTCTGCTTTTACTTCAAGAGTGGGCTCTAAGGTACTTGTATTAAGTATTAGAGTTTGTAAATTCCAGAATTTACCAAAGGTAGGAGGGAGGGCCTTAAAGTCACCTGAGATAGCAATATACCTCAAATGATATAATTGGTTAAAGTCTTTGGAGAAAATAAACTTGAGAGATTCAACATCCAAGACTCTCATAAGTGGAAAGGCTTTGTGAATGAGTTTGATTTCATTAGCAGACAAGTCAATTGGTTTTTGTTTTGAGGAAAAACAATAGAAAGATCTGACATGTTCTGCAACAGGTACTGTGGAGAGAAAGTCAGACAGATTAGATGGTTGAATACACAATCGACGGCAAGTAT